GACAGGGCGGCCAAAACGCTGGCCGCACTGGCCGCCGTCGCGTCGCCAGGGCCCTTGACCGTGGCCCCTGCTGTGACCCCAAGTGCCAGGCGAAGGAGACGTTGCAGCAATCCAGCAATTTTTCTTTATGAACAAATATATTCATTTCTTTTGTAAATAATAAACAATTTACATGTTTCTGGAGGGTTTCTGTGTTTCTGCAATGCAAATACTTTGCCTAGAAAGCATTTCTTCAAATCACGTTTGAGTGCTTATTGCGGCTCAACCATTCGGAATATCCCAGTAGTTTATTAGACAAATAAGGCAATAAAACCGTCTTAACAGCCTAATTTCGAAGTTTCGACGTTTCCTCCCCGGACACCCTGTGTACACACACATACATTTTGTATGACTCAAGCACTTGTGGCAATAACATGATAAGCCATACCCGCACTAGCGAGCTTCGCGCTACTTGTAAATGTTAAATTCTCGATTCATATTACTGCCTTAAGTCTTCAAACAAAACATGTAGAGAAAGAACAGGGCGAATCATGATATTAACATTTATGAATAGTGGGAGGCTTGTGGCTGGTGTGGCTATTCTTGTTACTCCCCCATGCCCCTCATACAATTGGGCCCACCAACCAAAAGAAAAGAGGTATACTGGTTTCTTTCAGAAAGCACATTACATAATAAACTTTATATAAAGGGGACAATAACCAAGCTATATGGGAAGATTGTTGCATCATGTAAGATCTCGTACCTCACAATTTGTGCGCCAACATTGCAAAAAACCATAATATCAATTATGGTCAGCGTTCTCATCTTGTTACTGCCCCAAGCCCTCAAACAAAATATATAGAGCAGGTTAAGGCACACTTTCACCAAAATCGAGATGTGAATACTTCAAATACGATTTGCAACATACATTTTTTATCCTAGGGGCACTTTTGCAAGTCTTATTCGGCTACCCCTTAGAAATATAGATTCCATATCTTCGAATGATTGAAAATGTATAAATGTGAGAAGAAATCGAAAGCGAGTATTACAAGGAAGAAGAAATACAGTACTCTTCCACTACAAATCTCTACGTATGCTCGAAATGAAGAATAGGCATTTTTTAAAACGTAGCTTTACGGTCCTTGAGGAATGACAGCTGACTTCAGATATTGTAATGAATTTCATTCACGCAGAAAAAAAATAAAAAGATAAAGTAATAACTTGTATCCAGTTACGTAAACGACACCACTTGGCGCTCAGTTGTAAACTGCGATATTATTTTCTGGATTTCCATAAAAAGCATGTATCCTGAAGGTATCGAATACAAAATGACAAAGCAGCACAGCACATACGGTGTCCCACCAACTATGGGGAACCCTCAACCCTTCTAACGATATCGAAAAGCAGGTTTCGCCCAACAATGCGGAATCATATGGCATGTAATACGCTGCAAAGATAATTTTGGTAATATATTAAGTTCTTGAGAAATCATCTTTGATTTCATTAAAAGAAATATATGTTTTTATCACTAGCACTGAGTAGATTATAAAAAGAGGAATACAATTTGTTAATGTTTTAATAGTAGTTTGAGGATAAACTTATACTTGCTGGCGTGTGAGTATAAATTAAACCGACAAAATTTCGTGTAGAAGCCCTTGCAAGAGTCGCCTTCGGGGAGGGGGCCTTCGCTCCGCGGCGCCCAGACTGTTACGGGGAGATGGGAGAGCGAGTTGCAATCCGTTGACTTCGCTAGGACACAGGAACAAATACCGACATTAATTATTAAAACGATAGATTTTTCCTTTGATTTATCAGAATCGAAGTTTTCTTCCACTGACTGAAATTCCAAATCATAGAACATTGAAAAAACGATATAAATAAGTTGGTAGGAAAAGGATGAAGGCCATTCTTCGAAGAATCGAACGCATATATGTGCTAAGAATCGAACTCGATGTCTTATGACTAAGGACATATTAGCATTTCAAAACAGTTCAAATACAAGGAATGGTTGAAGATTTTCACTATAATATTTCCATATAATTGATTAGATTACAGGTGTGTTGATATTATTTTTTATATTTACTGTCACTCAACTTCTCGCTGTATATTAACAAAAAGAAAACGAGACTTAGATAAATACAAAATAATTGATAACATATATGAATCTAAATTATTTACATTTATGCTCTGTGGTCCTCCATCAACAGCATTGCACATCTGCGTCGTGTTTGCAAGGCATGACGAACAGACTACAGTGTTTTATGGCGTTATAAATCGATGCTTTGGATTTGAACCGGTGGACGGAATGTTCAATTATGATAATACAATGGAAAAAATCTCGTTCTGATCAATAATATTGATTTGATGATATTGGTACCTGTGTTCGTCGTGACTCTGCTGTAGTTACGCCTCCATCCCTCATTGCAACTCTTCTCACACTCCCGTTTCCGCGCATGTGTTGGCGCTAAGCAGAGCATCTTCCCAAAGGGGAGGTATAATTTTATACTCAAACACTACCAATACATAAACACATGAGACACGAATGTGTTCCTCATTTTATGATCTATCCATTACTAAAAAAAATATAGTTCCTTTAGAATAATAAAAAATGATTAACTTTCTCAAAAACTAAAAATATTTCATAATTTTGAATATTGATTTCAAGGATATAACACAAACATCAACTGACATAAATTTTGCGACGTAACTTTACTTATACCTAAACCGTCAACAATCCTTGCGATTGCATTTACAAGACTTTGCACAAACCTCTATGTTTGGTTAGCATCATAACAGAACTTCATCTTCAAATGCAAATGAACGACAAGGTTATCCCCAATTTAATTCAAGGATTCCTTATTACTTTTGCGGAACTAAAACTACACACATGTGAATACGACCTGAAGATTATCATTATTTTGGGATCCTCAGAGTGATCATCGTACTCGTCGAAAACCATATCGCAAATGCAATTTCAAAACCATTTCTTACCACGGTTCTCAAGTCTCATCTCCATCCATTTCGTATTCTGATCACCGGAGCAGCCGACTACAACTTCCTCGAAGGACGACGCAATGGCGGCTACAGCGAAAGCACAGTCGGTAAAGCCAATGCGATGATAGCGCCAGCGGGTTCGGCGAGGAAACTGGGGACTTCGGGCGGGCTGCATGGGCTGCGTGCAGAGGACGAAGAGGGCGAAGAGGACAGGACTAAGGGGAGCGGGTTGTGCGTCTCGTGACGCGCATACAGTCAGCCAGCTGCGCCCAATCTTCCACTTGCAGTGATAACAGCGACACCAACAGTGGCAGTGGCGGAGGCGCTGGCGGGAGAGGGAGTGGGGAGATCGCACCAACGCAACTCACGCCCCCGCACGTGGAGCCGCAGGTGCAGCTGACGCGCCGCGCCGCCGTCGCACCGGAGCCAACGCTTGCAGGAGGCGATGCTGCGCTTCAGAAATTTCCACCACCTCTACAACGCCACTGGCGATGGAAGAGTGCTCTTTGAGATTCAAGGAAAATAATGGCTGATTGTGTCCTTCCAACGACTCGCCATCGAACAGAGTGGAATTCGTCACTACTAATTCTCTAATTCTCCTTTTAATAAACTGCAAAGATATTACATTTACACTGTCTCATATATATTAAATAGACACACAATAACGACTATATTATTATTAACAATAACTCTGGCAATAAAAAAACACGTTGAGAAAGAAGTGAACTATATTAATTAAACTCCCAAAGTTCATTCAATTCTTTCCGTTAGTCCTCTACCATTTCATTACTTTAAAAATGGAAATATGAAGCATAAGTTATATTGTTTTTATGGAGATATCTAAAAGATATTTCACAAAACTATGGGATGATGGTAAGGTGTAGGCAAGGGAGGAACATTTCGTCCTCTTCTAGGATGGTGATCGCAATGGCTGTTTGCTAAGCCTTCCACTCTATGGACGATGACAGATAATTACGAAGGGTGAACGTTGTGACTAACAATTAACATACCACAACCACAACGTGAAAACACGATATGCACGGGACGTGAACATGCAGACTTGAACGTCGAGTACATGTTCTATGCTTTCTAAGTCGCTGCGTCACATTTGCCGGCGTACTACAAAATGATCTTCTCGTTATGTGCGTTTGGATTTTGATGATTCCGAATTTATGGGCAATGAGAGAATTTTTTGTTGATCCTACGGAAACGTTTTGAATAAACATTCACAAGGAATAAACATATTTTCAGAAAAAGATAACGTTTTGATTTAAGTGGAATCAAAATAAAAATAATACATTCCAAGTTCATTTAAGACGGACAGAAAAAGTTTATTGGATATTTCACGTAAAAACACAGTTAAAGATATTTATTAAAGCACATTTCAACAGCAGTGATTACAAATGTGCTTCAATGAATACGTATAACTGTGTTTTTTATGTGAAGTATCCAATAAACTTTCGCGGATCACTGACACGGAAGCTGAAGTATATTACTTGTTTGAGCAGCGTCCGGCTGCTCTGATCGATGTTATTCCATGGTTTCTCCAATTAATACCAGGCGTATGTCGGACCAGTACCATAAAAAACGGGACCCGGAGCACGCGGTTCTTCCTTCCTATTCCTTGCCCTATCCTCACCAATTACATACTCTCTCTCTCTCTCTCTCTCTCTCTCTCTCTCTCTCTCTCTCTCTCTTAAATGCACTACACTACCACACAATTCGGAAGCCCAGTCGGAAGCTTAGAGCCGTACCCAGTAGGGGAGGTCCTCAGCTGTGGGAGAAGCCTGGTTGGGGAAACCTGCGGGCCGATATGATCGATCGACAGAGCTCCGATCCAGCGGGGAAAGATCTTCGCCATCTCCCGCGGTAAAAACATACACTACACTTACAGAACTAATGGCCATGTCAGTTGACGCACGCGGTCTCACTGCTCTAATCAATGCTCGAAAACGTCAAATAATGCGAGAAAATACGTCCTGTTGTAGCTCCTCACTTACTGAATACTCAAGTGCGTCACTGCTTACACGCAGCTGCAGTCATGCGGTAGCAAGGCTCTGAAGAAGAGGCCGCGAGTTATCAAATATTTTCCATTCACATGTTGCACACATCACAGCAACTTCTTTTATATTTTTGGAATATAAAGAACTGTTGTACTTTGCGTCCGTTTCCATTATACAACGATTATTGCAATATTCGCGAAAACTGGTTATGTCCAAATATTTAATTTACTGTATTGTCAGAGGAGAGTATTTTGTTTGTTGCTCTTGTCAAGTGTGTGTAGTACTTTCTGGAAACCGATTTTGTATGGTTTTGTTCAGCAGCATTTTAACTGCTGCAGACGCCCTGTAAAACCTAATTTGCAATGTCACACATTCAAAAATGATCGCAACCCAACAGTTTAAGAGTCGATTGGCGAGACAATAAGCAACCAAGTGCAATAGGCTACTTCGCCGCATGGCGTCATGTCGATTCGGAGTCAGGATTGCATAGCTCCTTCTGCGCCGCCCGCGTGTTGAAAGACCGCTGTGACGTCGGGATTGATTAAACTCACAGACACGGAGTTGCTATTTACTGATTTATTAACATAAAATGCACAACTCCTGAGCAAGTTGTCCGCTGTACTAGACCCCCGAGAACCCGGCGTGCGAATTCTGGCGCAAGTCACATTGCGAGAGCCACACCGCGCAGAGCCGAAGCTTGGGGGAACCCGCAAGGGGGAGAACACGCGCAGGAGCACGGAGATTCCACTGGTATTCGAATCCCGCCCGGCAGATTGTCAGCTGGCCAGGGAACACGTGACGCATTAGACTGGTGCCCGTTTCCGGGCCGTGCACAACGGAGGGCCCGCCGGCCAGCTGCAAAGCCCGACAGATCTGCCCGGGCTGCCCTGGCGCCGACGGGAGCGCCAAACGCTATGACGTCACAGGCGCAGGCGATGAGGCTGAGAGCGATCGCAATCCTGCCGCCGCGCCGCGTGGGAGCGCCGACAGCCCACGCGCGCGCAACGAGCCGGCGGAAAAGCGAAAGTGTGGCATGCTTCTTCCCGCCGAGACATTGCACTACTTACTCCTTTCCAGCAATTTCTATTTCTACCATCAAAAGATGCACCTGTTCGTCATAGGACATGGTATGTTTGTTCAGGAGAACAATGACCCACATGTAATCACATATTTGACCAACTCGATTTTGATTATTTTCTTGGAGTACAATATTCTTCTCTTCATTGCACTACACACTGATGTTATGAAATTAAATGCATCCCATCGAGATTACAAAAACAAAATGATTCGTCACGCCCCACGTAATATCCAAAACAATACAAATAGATATAGAAATGACAGAACATTATCAGGTTAGAAAAGGTATTTGATCCAGCAGGTGAGTGTTATGAGCATATTTAGACTTTTAGATCGATTCACTACATTTTTAAACAAATCAATTGGATATTTCTAAAAGTAAATTTCTATTTTCGTTTTTCATACTCAGATTATTTTGTAACAGTATATTTTGTAACGGTAACTTGTGTAGCTTGCGGGATGTACTCAACTGTGTATTTCCATCAGCGGGGCACCGCCTCAGCCGGGACAAACTTTATGCTCTCTACTGGTGTCCCGACGAGGGTGGGAGTGTACTACATGCAAGTGAAAGTGAAGTAAGGGGTGAGGACAGTTCTTTCGGTTCACTCATGTGCTCGCACCTCGTATACCGAGACTTTTAGTCAAGCTTCATTGTGCCTCATCTAGAAGATTCATAGATATTTGTAACAAACAGTAAAAAAACTTGGAAATGTCACGATCTGAGTTCAAATTTTACTTACATGCAATTGAATCCCGGAGAATATCATTTTTTTATTTGACAAATATACATTTAAGCACAAGGAACCAGTCTGAATACCCAAAACACTACATTAATTTATTATAGGAACACTACAAGTTCTTCAATTCGACAATAAAATGTGTGATTTCCTTAATTAAAAAATTGTTGAACTATAGCAAAGATTAATATTTGATGAAATACAAATGAATCAAAACATTGCAGTGCTTGATAGTGCAAATAAATCACAGCCGTCAACTTTCTTCACATACACATGCTACATTTTAATGTGAATGCTAGTGTGTAACAGCACAGAACAAGTAACATTGCCAGAATTTCTTGAATTCACAAGTACAACACCAAAGGAAGACACCATAAGGTCAAATAGGGCCTGCGAAGGTTTTCAGATCTGTGATGTTCAATTCAAATCACATGCCACTTACCTTGGTTATTTACTGCCTTACTTATAAACTGCCTTCATTTACTCAATTTTCACTAAACACGCTTATCCAAAACACACATATTTCACTAAACACACATCCAACAACATCAAGTTGCACATCATCTTGTAGTTTCCCTTTTTATAAACATTCTGCATGTGTAATGATTTCT